ATTAAAAATAAAAAGGAATCGATATTATGGTCTCTTCATAAATCCATGTTTCACTTAACCTAAAAATTAGGGTTTACAGTGATCAGAGGTGGTCTAGGCCCGAATCCGTTATATAATGAGTCAAAATAATACAATTCATTAAAAAATTAGTATATTTTAAACTTAGTTCATTTTTCAACAGCATCTTGATGCCGTCTGATCAACAAAATTTTCTCCATACCGTTCGGTCCTTAATCAGTTCTTTCTATTACTGTATTAGAAACTGTTATAGAGAAATAAGTTTTCTATAACTTTATTGAACGAGTTCTAGTTAAAAATATTAAATCTTGCTCAAAATCAGTTGATATTTACTACAGAACTGATTAATATCCCTAGTACAGTTATATATTATAGATTATTGCTTGGAATTATACTAAATTTTACTTGAAATTATACTTAATTTTGCCTGAAATTATATTTTCATTCTGCCTGGAATTATCTCAAATTTGGCCCAGAATTATACAATGATTTGTAATAATACCAATATAAAAATATATTGACATCTAGATTTGGGTTTATTTAAAAAAAGTGATGTTTTTAAACCATTAACTTCTCAATAACATATGTACTTTTAGAACTAACACATGCTAAGGTATTCGTTAAAATAAAATATTTTCAATATGTGCACTGATTCAAGATATATGCAGAATTCATAGAATTCAAAAGAAACGTTGATATTACACAACTAATCCTACACCTGGTGTGCAACACATAAAAAAATTATTGTATCCTAATGCTAATACAAAATTTACATTAGGGTGTTAAAGATTATCATTATATGATGCTTTATCGATAAGCGCATTTTTTTGCATCGCAAAATTAAAAATAAAAATCACGTGCATAGATTGTAATTGGTAGATGCATGCTTCGACGAAGATAGATAGCGAACGAACGAAAGATTCTAAGAGCTATTAAATCATATAATTTATATATAATTACATAATTTGCATCCATCACATAGTAGATCTCGATCTCATCACATAATTTACCCTAACGCATCATGATTATTTGATGGTAAATTTGTATTTAATCTAGTAAACTTTGTGTGGATAGAATTAATTCATATCTATTAAATCATGACTCAGTTATTGGTTCTACCTAAATTAAGCCATAATTTAGCCCAAATTCATAACCTCTACGAAACTACCTTTTATATAAGTTTCAATTCATTCTCTGATGGCAACTAGAGGCTATCAGAAAATAAACTAAGTTCAAATAATAAAATTTAAATTATTAACAATATTGATATTGAATTGTATTATATAACAAATAAAAATATATCAAAAAAATTTCTTATAGTACTGTAAAATGCACACTTTATTTCATGTTTTCAAAAGATACTGTACGCAAAAAATAATTTGTCCTATTTCAGAAATAGGATTTTCTTTAGTGTGAATATGTATATATTAAATTCTTATAAGTTTATAATATATAAAAGTAACTAATTTGAGTAATTTAAATTTTAACCTTAACTTTAATTTTAATAGTTTATAAAATAGTTAATTTATGTAAGTTATATTATAACTGTATAAAAATTATATATATTTATTTATACTAAAAATTGATTTTAGGACATCTAAATAATAGTAAATCCAATGGATTTGTATTTACGAACTAATTCTACCAAAATTATGTTTACCAAAGTTACAAAATTAATTAATTAATTCTACCAAAATTATGTTTACTAGAGTTACGAATTAATTTTATCAAAATTATTTTTACTAAGTTACGAATTAATTTCTACCATAATTATGTTTACCAGAGTTACAAATCAATTCTACCAAAATTATGTTTACCAGAGTTACGAATTAATAAAGTTGTAATTGTATAAAAAATTATAATTATATGTACACAACACACAAAAATTCTAATGGAGAAATACTAACAAAAAACTTAATCTTTCTAATATTTATTTGCATTCTTTATCTTGCCTCAAATTTAGCAATTGATCTGTTGTTTCGTGTAAATCTTCAAGAAATTTTTGATAAATATTTTAATAATTCTTCGTTAACTTCTAAGTAAACCTTGATCATTCCAATTGAAACTGTCAAAATACAATTAAAATTTTAATTGTTAATGGACTAAATATTGAACAATAAATAATCAACATGATTTTGACAACTTTTGGAGGAATGCATTATACAATTACAATTCAGATACAATTAATATAATTCTCATAAAATATTTTTAAGTCATGAATATTATCAAGAAATAGTTTATTTTCTTCATAATCGTCTAATTTTAATTCAATCAAATTGTAAACAGGCTTTAAAGTATTAGCAGTTGATTGTTCCATTTTTTTTTCTAAAAATACTACAGGGTTTTTAAAAAACAACTTGGGATATGTAAGAATATTAAATAGAAGCAAACTATATTAATAATCAAAAAAATTTCCTGATATTGTGAATATTCAAAGATTTTAAAAAGATAAGAAATGAATTATCTCATAAAAATTTTGTGAAGCAATGTTAGGAGCTGCTTCTGAAAATTTTTTATCCAATAATAAGATAAGCCCGATTATCAATGGCTTGTTTAATGACTAATATAAAACACAGAAATATACGTATTTATTTTAAACAACGTATATATGTATTATACATTGTATTATAATAAAACCTGTGTAATTGCATTAAAATAAATTATATCTTGCTGCAAATATACAACTGTATTATTACCAGGATAGAATAAAAAAAAAATTACAAATTATATGCCATTTATATGATATTTGAATTTTTTTCATGTACAGTATGTATAGTTCAAATAATTGAATCTAGCGATCTGATTGGTTGATAGAATTTATCTGAAGTGATCTGTGTACAGTACATATAGTACTGTACACAGCACATCACTAATTGCAACAGAATCTTAATAACCAAATTATTAACAACAAATCTATTGAACTCATTTCTATTAGCCAATCAGATTTTGTAAAGTCACTAAATGATCTAAAAACATTAGCCAATCAGAATGAAAGCCTGCTATGCTAAACCAATCTGATTTAACAATTTTGTGTAGCCCAAAAAATTACAACCAATGTTACGACTTGGAAGAGTTTTATAGTCCTACCAAAACAAGAAAATATTCCAAGCGTAACTAGTACCAGAAAGAATTTTTTTATTAGTATTTATCTTATACTATCTATTAGTCTCTAACTAATTCTATTTATTAGTCTCTAACTAATTATTGTGCAAAACATAAATGATGATCTAACTCTATAAAATGTCGTAATGATCATCAAAGTATAATATAGCAAATAGGTTTGATCATTATCTAATTACAAGATAAGCTATTGTGAAGTTATACAAAGAAAAGCATACTGTTTATCTTTTCTTAACACCAACCCTGGCAAACATTACAATATATACAAGTATATATATTTTTTAATCCTTATCTTTTAAAAATTTTATTACTATAAAGAATGTATTTTAGTCTATATACTGTAGAATTTTGATAAGTTTTATTAATAGAATATTTTTATTTTCTACATAAATTATGTTGTACTACTAAAATCATATGATAAAAAAAATTATATGATAATATGATCTACATACTCTCTACTCTTAAATAGACTTCTTACTCCTATTTGTAGATCTATATGGGTTTTCTTACTCTGAATTTTTAATGAAAATGTGTGTTTATTTTCTTTTTATGAAATAGAAGACTAATTTCAGAAATGAAATGAATATAAGATATCGGGTGTAAAATTTAAAAAAAAAATTTGAACATTTTGAAAATTTCTTACCAGTAATGAAATATATCAATAATTCTTCTATTACTTCTTCTTCTAAAGGAGACATATTTGAAATTAAAGTTTTCAGATTAGTTAAAAATAAAATAAAGATTGACTGCCAAAGGGTGAGGTGAGATAATTATGTCACTAAGTGATCATTTAGTTGTTATGCATCTAAAGTTATGCTGCCACTAGGATGATATGATAGGCAGAGAACTGAAAGCGCATCATGGCCACAGGGGATGTTACAAGAACCAAGTAATAATTGCTTGTGAACATCCTTCTCTGTTTTATCTGTTATCCAAATGGTGAATAGGATTCATGGATAAATAATTGTATTGGTTCCAGTGCATGTTCCTTAATGATGATGATAACAATTACTTATAGTTTTTTTTTTATAGGTTATCAAGAGGTGATGATAGCATGGATATATTCGGCAATCATAATCATTACTTATTATTATTTTAATGCAAAGATTTTACTAACAAAGTTGAAGTTGATTATATCTGAGACTTTGAAAGTGTTGTATCAAGATTTAATAAGCAAACAACAATCAGAATTTATGTTATATCAGCAAAGGATAGTTATTCGAGTGGTGCTATAGGAAGAGCTGAATCATCTGAATACCATTTACTATTGACGAATATACATGATCTGTGTCAGGACATTCCTGAATACTTATCTAAAATATTGAAAGATAATTCTGTCAATGAAAAGATTTATAGGATAAAAGAAAAGGTAAATGTGATAATTGAGATACTCAAATGTCAAGAAAAGTCCATATATAAAATTAACAATAATAGAATCAAAATTGAAAATAAGCAAATTAAGTTGAAAAAAAAACAAATTGGAATAGAGTGTAAACAAGAAAAAATTATTTTTTATAATTCTATATTATTATTGATTGTTGTAGTTTTTTTATTAGTTAAATATGATTTCTTCTTGTAATTATAAATATTATAAACTAAAAACTATTAACAGTACATGTATTGTTCATTAAATATGATTGGCTAATGAATATAAATAATAGTGAAATTTGAAAGTCTTAATTTGAAAATATAATAATAAGCTTCACCAAAATCCACCTATACTCTTTTATTAATAATAACTCTAATCTTAAATCCTAACAACTCTAATCTTAAATCCTAACTTAACTATAAAAAAAAAAGCTAACAAAAAGACTCTAAAAAATTTAAAAATCGTACATAAAATAGATCCAAATTTTGCATCATCCAATTTCATGATCATCCATGACATAAATATTAAAAATCCAAAAAATTATTTATTTAACATCTATTGCCGGGCCTAAATCTGTTAAATTATGAGCTAAATTAATACAATTCATTAGAGTTAGCACATATTAAACTCAGTTCATTCTCCGATGGCATCTTGATGCCATAGGAGAATGAAATGAGTTTGAATAATAAAATTTAAATTATCAACAATATTGATTTGAATTATATCATATAACAAATAAAAATATAATAAAAAAGAATTTCTTATAGTACAGTAAAACCTCTATAAGTGCACATTCTCAAGATCAAACTTTAATGATGTGCACTTAGAGGACAGTAAGAAAAATTGCAGTTATAGAGATGATTTATATATTTGGGCCTGAGTTTAAGCATGCATTTAAAGAGGGTGTGCACTTATAGGGGTGCACTTATGGAGGTTTCTTTCTTTTTCTTTTTTTTTTTTTTTAAGGTGAAGTCTTGCTCATATCTTTATTAAGTAATTTATAAAATAGTAACATATGTATAATA